GTAAGAAGCTATAGATACGGTAGCATTTGCCAGTTTCGATGTGTAATAAATTCCAGTAAAGAGAACAAGAATCGAAGTTGTGTTAAAATTTTAAAATGTTATTGGTTAGAATAATATTTGCAAGTTACAAAAGAATCGTTCGTATTCTTCCCTACTTTCTGACGTTTTGTTTTAGGGCAGCACAATGATGCTCGGATGAATATATCAATAATTCTGTCGGCAATACGGCATGGCGCAAAAGCAGTAAATCACGTGAAAGTGGATAAGCTGCTAAAAGATTCAACAGGAAAGGTGTGCGGAGCCCACGTCGTTGATACAGTAAGTATTGCATTTTTTAGCCTATAGTGTGCCAATGTAAATGCATAGAGCAGTGAAAGTTACGCTTGGGGTGAAATGTACAGAATGGCCAAAAAATACTGAACGGCAAAAAATACATGAGAATCATTTGGAAGGTGCTAGACTCTGCCAAATAGTTGGCACGCGAATTCACTCACCAAACTGTCTACAAATAAATAATAGAAAACTAAAAGAAGGGTTCGACACGATCTGTTGCGATTTCATTTGTACAGTTCATCAACAGCGAATAAAAAAGGAATGCAGAAATAAAGAAGGGAAAGGTTTTGGTTGCTTTACAGATCTGCATCGGTAATTCTGAAGGCTCTGACGACAGTTTGATATATTTCGTTAGCTAGGTTTATATCAACTGCAGCAAATTCGATGGGTATCTGTTTCGTAGAATCATTCTTTTTTGACCCTCAAAATGTCAGTAAAATTTCAGCTAACAGGTGACCAGTGGAACGTGAAAGCTAAAGTTGTGGTGAATGCGACAGGTCCATTTACAGACTCAGTACGTTTGATGGCCGATCCGGACACCACTCCGATATGTCAGCCTTCTGCTGGAGTTCATATTGTGCTGCCCGGTTACTACAGGTTATTCGATAATTATCATATTTTTCAAAAAATCTATTAAAAAGCCTGGAAAATAACGTCAGTTAATAGTTGTCAAAAGTGGACACATTCAATAAAATTTTATACATAGAGCGGATTTGGGGAAATAAATTACTTGGACAAAGCAATAATATTTTTAATTCCGCGTCCTCCTTTTTGTCCTGATAATCG